AATCGATGGTTCTCACATCATTCTCTCTCTCTCTAAAATCAACAAAAGCATATTCTTGGGTGCAGATTTAAGAGAAGGAGAGAGAAGGAAAACAGCCCAGGACCTGGATCTGAAGAATTCTGATAGATAAAGTGTGGAGAGAAAAGGAAAAACAAGCAAAGGGGAGAGGGTAGCCACTGAGTTAAAACAGACAAAACTAAGTGTGACATCAAGGCGTGTTTCAAAAAGGAGGAAACTGAACTCTGCTGAGAGGGTTAGAACTGTCCACTGTATTGGACCACACGGAGGTCACAAGGAAGGGCCTCAGCAGACAGGGTTAGGGTTAAGTAATGGGCGTGGATAGAGTGAGTGAGAATAACTCTTCGGAGGATTCTGGAGGGAGATGTAGATTTTAGTTTTTTGGGTGGGTTTTTTTTTTTGTTTCAGTTGAAGGTTGTTTATATGTCAGTCAAAAGGATACAGTGGAAAGGGAATATATTTCAACAAGTAACAGGTATATTCGTGATACTGAGGATACCAGCTGGGCTGAAGTAGGTGTGTTGAATGTTGATTAGGGATTATGTGTGACCTTGAATGCCGCAGGAAGAAGCTTGAAACTGTTGCAGCAGATGAGAAGAAATACTTGTAGATATTTGAACAGAAAAATGGATGAGTGAGTTAAGGGACTTGATCCAGAATCTCTCAAAGGTGGGAGAGGCCAGAATCAAGAAGACCTGTGAGAGCATTTCAGAAATTTAGAGAATCTGGGCTAGATTTATACTGAAAGAAAAGGAAAAGTATGGGATCATTTCTAAAAACAGTAGGTTTTAGCGACTGTTTTCAGTTGATTTAGTTACAAAAAGAAAGGAGAAAGGAAGATGAAATATGTTGTTGAGGATTCTTGAATGGGGGAATCTAAAAGCAATTGGTGCCATAGTCAGGCAGGAATAAAAAGGAAGGAGAGCAGCAGCAGATCCCTGAGAAAGTCAGCTGCCCCCGAGAAGCTGAGAAGGCTGCAGATTAAGGGGGAAAATCAGATTTGATCATAAAAAAATTATTGGAAGTTTAAGAGAAAAAAATCAGTGTGGCACGATAGTAAAAAAAAAAAAATTTCTAATAGTTTAGACGCTTAGAAATAGAATGAGCAAGTTTTCTTGTGTTTAGGAGGCAAAGCAGCAATTGTGTGGTGTGTGAAGGTGGGGAATTTTCATCTGTATGCCCCGCCTGTCTGTCCCCCAAAGCAGGTCCTCTGTGAATTCTTGTTGAGTAAAGGAAAGATTGATCATTTATTTCAGAATGTCGCCCTTCATCAGGGCATGTTAGAAGACCTACCAAAGAACAACCTCAGGTAGCATATTCTTTGGGTAAGATGGGGAAATTAAAAAGGGACTGAAATATTTTATTTTCAGCTCATGAAAATTGCTACTTAAAATAGTCACCTGATTTACAGTTTAAATTATCATGCTGTTGTTATTTTGAATGTGCTTTTTGTTCTCTGAAAAGATTTCTTTTTATCACCCATTTACCTCTGCATATTGTTACGGTAGGATTTTCCCCTCTGGTTCTTTTTCAACTTATTGCATAAATATAACTAAAAAAGAAATCGGAAAATTACTGAAAGTCCAACCTACTTAAATCTCATCAGTTCTCAATATTTTATGTTCCCTCCTAGGGTGTTGCTTCCTTTATGACTACATGGTCATAACTGCATGACTACATGATGCACCTGTGATCAGCCACAATATAATATAATTTTTCATTTGGCCTCTAAAAATGTAACGTATCAAACATGATTTTTTAAAAATGAATTACCAAGTTAGGTGGGGCTTGCTTTTATTTTCACTGCTTGCAGTGAGACGAGCAGCCTCACTCGGAATAAGTGATGATCTGGTGTGAGGATGGGAAGGAGACAGAGGAGTAGGGGTGCCGCCTGAGCCAGTCTCCGTGTCATCGGCCCCAGACTGCCCCCCTACTCTGCTGTCACTCCCGCCATAGTGTAAGAGGGGAGACGCCGAAAAATCCAGAATTACCTTTAGGAGGGCGGGCCCCTTGTAATACAGGCTTCCTCCTCTAGGTGGTGTCCTAGAAACCCATCTCTATCAGTGCACCAGCTGGCGCTGTTGTGAGGGGCTGAATTTAGGGTGTGAATTGTTTTTTGAAGATTCAACGCCTTTGCCCCTTTCATGACGGGTGACTTACAGGCGCACCTGCTCACACTGCTCTGAGTGTTCAGCAGTTTTTGACCAAAAACAACATGACCCTTGTGCCTCACCTTCCCGATTCACCTGATCTCACCCCAGATGCCTTTTTTTTTGTTTCCCTGGATGAAAAAAGTCCTCAAAGGGAAACATTTAGCTGATGTGGAAGAGGTGAAACAAAAAAGAAATGGCAGAAGCTTTAAAAGGCATCAAAATCGACAAGTTCAAAAACTGTTTTGAGCCGTGGAAAAAATGTCCCAATAGGTGTATTGTTATCAGATGGAGAGGACTTCGAAGGTGATTGAAGTTTAAACATTTAAGAATAGATACAATTTTTATAAATAAGTTCTGGCTTTTTGGGGTTCCCCTCATATTGTGTTAGGTAATATGCCAAGTTTCGGGGTTCCACGATGTATTGTTCAGCAGTGAGGCTGCTGCACCCGCAGAACCTGCAAAAGACGGAAGGTAGACCCGCCGATTGATTACACCGCAAGCTGTGGCAGTGCCACTGTCTGACCCCTACCCATCAGTGCCTGTGACGAGTGTCTGGGGCCGACTCAGGCACAGAACTGGGGAGCGAGCAGCCAAGCACCAAGCCAGGTTTGGTCTGATGACGAGTTTTAACAGCCCTCTACACTCACCTCTGCTAATTGCAGTTTCTGAAATTATGTGTACAGAGATGGGAAGAACCTTTAGAAAATCAAAAACAATTACACTGAGGATTCCTTTAAGTGATGATGAAATAGCAAGAACAGATGTATTAATAGTAAAGAATACAACTGGATTATGTGTTTTATAATCCACAACTGGATGTATTTCATAAATGAACTTCGGTTTGTTGTAAAAAAAAAAAAAAATTCCTAGTAGTTTAAATAACACCTAAGTGGAGAACAAACTAAGCTTTTGGCAGCCAAAGGAGGGGGTTAAACTGTAGCCGGAAATGATGACTGAGTTGATGCACTCTCTTATTTTAGCTCTTCCCATCTTCAAAACCAACAAATAATTGAAAAGGAGCCTTGCTTTTGGTAGCATGATTAGGAAGGGCAAACGCCTCTGTGGTGACTGGTCCTGCACTCTCAGCGCCGCCTGGTCCGGCTGCGTGTAGCTCTGGGGAAACTAATTATCTTCCTGTCTTCCCTGTGGTCCTGGCCAAGATTACTTCACTGTAGAGAACTGGTGTGACTAATAAAACATCATATTGCTTAGTGATTTTAATCTTTATTATTTAACAAGAATAATTAATCTTTTTTCATTGCGTATTTAGTATGATGCAAGCGAGGCATCTAGACACTTGAAAGCATTAAATGTGTATTGTAGCACTCTTTCCCTCCCAGTAACTTAATTTGACAAGTTAATATAAAAACATGGGTTTTCTGTATATTAATATGACAGTGTAGCCTTTATTATGTCCAAGTTTTAAAAGCACTCAGCTGTCAGAGACTGAGCTACAGATGCCGACATCACCTCCGATTCCAAGATGCTTGGCTAAGCAGTTGCTCCCGTCTGTGCAGCGGTGTGGGTGGCAGGCTCGGAGCCGCTGTGCTGTGGCGGGCTCTGCTTCCGCCCTGGCAGCCTGCAGCTGCTGCCAGGCTGTGGCTGCAGCCCTGACCCAACCTTTCCCGCACTGCAGGGACCTAGGGATCAGTGACCTCCCACCCAAGGAGCATATGTATGTAATTTATGGCAGCCTTGATTCATGAAATGGTCTTTGATTTTATAAAACAGGCCCTGGTTTTCATTGACATTCTAACCCATTGGGTGGGTTTCATTTCTGGCTCACACGAGAATGATATCTGGGTTTTCACCCCCCAGTTGTTTTCAACATTGTCTGTAATAATAAATGAAAGTTTAAAATACGGTATAGATGAAAGTTTTTAAATGATTATAGTATAGTGGTATAGATGAAAATAAAAGGTAATTCCTTACATTTCCCATTATAAGTATTCTAAATTCCGTATTGTTTCCATATTCTATAAATCTCTTTAATATTTAAAGCTGTCCCTTAGATAATATCTAATGTGCCCTTATCCCATTTGTTCCTGTTTATCTACAGATACAGATGAGCACACCACTTCCATGTATGTGAAAAGCAGTAGAGTCGGAGTCAGATCCGCCTCTCCAGAGGGTTATTCTGATTTCTTAGTTATATTTGTGCTCAGTCAAAATATGTTAATGATGAATTTTTAAATGTTTTTCAGAAATTCATATAATACTGTATTTCATCAAAAGAAAGTTGTTTAGTTGTCAAGCTTATCAATTCAGATGTATTAAGTTGTAGGTGACAGAAGACCCAATCCGAGGTGACTTCTAGGAAGGGTATTTATCAGGTCGTATCATTGGAAGGCCAGCAATAGTCCAAGCCTAAGGGTGGACTGATTTAGCAAATCCACAGTGCTACTAAGAATTTGGTTTTCTTCTTTCTGCTTTGATTCTCACCTTCTCCTCGTGATGATGAGATGGTTTCTAGCCATTCCCAGACTCAATGTTTTCTCACTCATGCCCAGTCATCTTTTAGAAGCTTGCCCAGAACACCTTTCCTTGTGCTTCATTGACCTTAGTCGAGGGGTGTGCCCCTGCCTGGAACCACCAAGTGTGGCCCGGCGGGGGTTTGCTGAGTGCCGCAGGCTGGGAGCCGGGCCTCCTCTCCGTGTGGGGCTGCGGGAGCGGGTAGAGAAGCCCCAGTCGGAACCGGGTAGCCATCTAGAGCGGAGGAAACGGGTGCGGGGCGACAGCCTCCCTGGTCGCTGCGCCGTGCCAGTCGAAGTCATTTGGGTTTCACTTATAAAGGTGCTTTGTTTCATTGGTTTCTACTTGTGTCTTTAGGGGCTGTGACAACGACCAAACGAACAGGCATTCCAGCTCCTCGAGAACTTTCGGGAACTATTTCAAGAGAGAGAACCGTGCCACGCGTCCCCTCCAACCCCAAGAAATCGGCGTCCAGTCCCACTTCTTCCAGCACGCCCACGCCCACCAAGCCCCTGAGGAACGCATCTGCGAGACTCAGACAGGAGAGTGAGGGTGGGGAGCGGGCCGTGCTCGAGTCCCAAGTTCGGGAACTCTTGGCAGAGGCCAAAGCCAAAGACAGTGAAATCAGCCGGCTTCGAAGTGAACTAAAGAAGTACAAGGAGAAAAGGACTTCACACACCGAAGGAAATGACGCTTTGGACCCAAAGGTAGATGGGACTTCGGTCTCACCAGTTGACTCAGAACCTTTGATAAGAGCTCTTGAGGAGAAGAACAAGAATTTTCAGAAAGAGCTTGCTGATCTAGAGGAAGAAAACCGGGCCTTGAAGGAGAAACTGAGTTATTTTGAGCATTCGCCAAATTCTGAAGGGGGAGCAAGTCATGCTGGCGATAGCAGCTGTCCAACCTCCATAACCCAGGAGTCAAGCTTCGGAAGCCCAACTGGAAATCAGTTGTCAGGGGAAATCGAGGAGTATAAAAAAAACATACCCCAAAATGTATTACGGACGTCAGGTTCTTCAAGTAGCGATGTTACCAAAGCTTCCTTGTCACCAGATGCCTCCGATTTTGAGCACATCACAGCAGACACTCCCTCGAGGCCCCCGTCTTCTCCGAGCAACCCCTTTAAGAGTTCAAAGTGTTCTACCGCTGGGAGCTCCCCTCACAATGTGAGCGAACTGTCCCTCGCGTCCCTCACGGAGAAGATACAGAAGATGGAAGAAAATCACCACAGCACAGCAGAAGAACTACAGGCTACTTTACAGGAACTATCAGACCAGCAACAGATGGTACAGGAACTGACAGCAGAAAATGAGAAACTGGTGGACGAGAAGACGATATTGGAAACTTCCTTTCATCAGCATCGAGAGAGGGCAGAACAGCTAAGTCAAGAGAACGAAAAGCTGATAAATCTCTTACAAGAGCGAGTCAAGAACGAAGAGCCCAGTGCTCAGGAAGGAAAACTGCTGGAACTGGAGCAGAAGTGCACAGAAATCCTTGAACAGGGCCGCTTCGAAAGAGAGAAGCTGCTCAACATTCAGCAGCAACTGACCTGCAGCTTACGGAAGGCTGAGGAGGAAAACCAAGGAGCCTTAGAAACGATCCAGCACCTGAAGGAAGAAAATGAGAAACTGAATGGGTTTCTAGAACTGGAACGGCATAATAGCAATGTGGTGGCCAAAACTCTGGAAGAGTGTAAAGTTACCTTGGAAGGGCTGAAGAATGAAAATGGGTCTTTGAAGGCTCATTTGGAGAACGAGAAGCAAAAAGCTGTAGAGACCAGTCCGGTGGGGCAGACGGCAGAAGGCTGTGCAATTCAAGAAATGCTTAAAGTAGCTCGAGCTGAGAAGGATCAGCTGGAACTGTCTTGCACAGAGCTCAGACAAGAACTACTTAAGGCGCATGGTGAAATTAAACGGGTTTCAAGCCTGTTAGCCAAGGTAAGGAGATACCTCTTTATCAGTATTTGCTCATCCTTGTTAACATTTCCCTCCTTTTTGGTTTTTAAATTCACAGAGCACAGAGAATCTTTCGCTTAGTCAGTTTCATTTATGAACACAGCATACTAGCTCGAAGACTTGAAGATTCCAGACAGATCAGCGATACAGAAATGAAACATGCGCATTGTCTGACTACAGGCAGTTCAAAGTGGAGTGGGGATCTAGGGAATCAAATCAGTGAGGGGGAGGCGGGGACAACAGATGTCACAGGGGACAGAGCCTCGTGCCTAGGAGGAACACCTCGAGTGCACAGGATAAAGGAGGGCAGCGCAGGAAGACTTCTGGGAAGAAGTGACGATAGGCTGAGTCTTGAAGAGTGAGTGAGAATTATCCAGATCTATTGGTTAGCATCCTTTGGGCTGCTAGTGACAGGAAAATAAAATCACCCCCAAATTTCCCCACCAAGTAATAATATAACCACTGTTTTCTTCCAGATACATGTGTTTCCCAGAAGTTAAAAAAATTTTTAGACTCATCCTGAGAATACTCATTTCTGAGAATATTCTCATTATTCTTTGAAACATGATTTTAAAGACCAGATAGGTGGCTGTTGTTGAATGTTTGTGCTCTTTTCCAGTCTTTTGGTGTTGTAAATACGTTTTTATATCTCTCATTATTTTCTTAGGGAAAATTCCTAGACATTGACTTGTATCAGAGTATGGCCCTTTAAAAATTTTTCAATACATTTAGCCACATTGCCCTACAGAAATGTTATCCTACTTTGTTTCCGCCAGCAGATCATGAGAGGGCTTGTTCCCCTGAACAGTTGCCAACAGTTGATGTTAGGTTGTTGGATCATTCAAACCCGGTCTTCATGCCCTCTTTTTTCCTCACCTTTTTTGCTCGGAAAGATCTTCCTCCAACCCAAGATCAAATTAAATGGCCACTTATTTTATTTTATTTTTAAAAAATATTTTAAAAAATTTATTTCTAGAGAGGGGAAGGGAGGAAGAAATAGAGAGAAACATCCATGTGTGGTTGCCATTCGTGCGCCCCCAACTGGGGACCTGGCCTGCATCTCAGGCGTGTGTCCTGACTGGGAAGCGAACGGGCAACCCTTTGGTTTGCAGGCTGGCACTCAATCCACAAGCCACACCAGCCGGGGCTCACTTATTTCATTTTAAAAAATAATCCTTTAATTAGCCTGGACGTTGTTATGCGATGAAGATTGCTGGGGGTTGTGTAACATTCTGCCCACTCCCAGAGCAGGCAGGTGGCTTCCTGTTCCCATTTCCTCCAAGCTCTGGGTCTGTGATCTCTGGTTCCTTAGTGAGTCAGGTTGAAAACATGCTCCCACCTATTTCAGGGTTTGAGACTTTTTCAAGAAACAAATTACGCCTCGAACTTCCAGGGGGATTTGTCTCTACTGCGTCCTCTCCTTAAGGTTAGTTGCAACCTGACTCTAACACTGGGCTGTCTGATGATCTGAGTAGTGGGTGATGCGGGGAGTTTTATCGTTGTCAGTGTGGGAACTCACAGCATTTTACGGAAAGTGTGGAAGCAGTTCCATTAAAGGGACTAGCCAAGTGCCCATTTGAACTGCAATTGGTAATTATAGCTTAACATTAAGTTGTAATGCCTGTAGGCTGTCTCCCTTCTATTGTTCTGTTGCAAAGTGTTTAATCTCCCAGATGACCTTCAGTTCCTCATCTATTTTTTTCTTATTTATATTCGTTTTATATTAAATATATGTGTCAATGAGAAATAATTTGACATCTCAAAACAATGGCTTATGCTTTTTGATCATAAAATTGCATATTCATCACAGAAGGTTTAGGAAATACAGAAAAGGGTAAAGGAGAAAATAATGACCTTTAATCTAACCGCTTAGAAAAAAATACTACTAACATTTAGTTGTATATCTTTTCAGACATTTTCACAGTTCATGTACATTTGGGCATGCATATACACTGGTATCAACATACTTAACAATTTTAATCTTTCTATTGAGAAGAGCAGAGTATGTCACTCCATATTTTATGAATACAAAACCCAGTTGGAGTAGCTTATTAATTCCATTTTTCATCTATTTCTGATTAATTTGTTTCTCATTTATCTTTATCAATTCTTTCATCCTGCTTTTTGTACATTTCCTTACTTCTAGTTTCTTGAGTAAAATTCTTTGTTTTTTTAACTTTGTCCTTTCTTAGTTGATAACGAAAGCACTTAAAGGTATGAATTTGTGCTTTTTAATAGCTTTGGCTGAAGGAAGACAATAAAATCTAGAATTTTGGGGGATAAATTAAGTCCAATTTGGAGAAAAAGGAAAAGCCTTTGCATTCTCTATACAGGGTGCAGCGTGTTTTAAATCAAGTTGTTAATCATAGTACTCATACATTCCATATCTTTATGTACTGCTTGCTGATGAGAATGGTCACGTGTGAGACAGTAGGGTGGGCAAGGCCCTCGCCAGTGTTTTCAGAGTCTGAGGTAAAAGGTGTGAGGTGCGGTGCCACAGAGTTTCTCTGACACATACCAAGGTCCTAGGCCTGTGCTCTGTTCTGTCTTGTGAGGACAGGAGCGTTGTTCTCTGATTACGGTAAAGTTGCAACTCATACTAACCTTTCTGTCCTTCTCTAATACCGTAGAAAAAGTAAAACCTAGACCTCCTAGGCAGACTAGCAGCTTAGTTTAGCCCCACTGCAGAGTATCAGCTAATCCATCAGCAAACATGAATTCAAAAGACACCACAGAAGGGACCTCACACCCAAAGGAAACAGGAGCAGGTGGAGGGACCTGCCCTTGGTCCTTCCTTAAAGGACGCTTTCACCTTTTTGCCATTAAGGACGTCTGTTGTGGGCACTTGTTGTATGTCTTTTATTGAGGTTTGCAAGTATTAGCTAAGAAGGATTTTGTTTGTTTTTTTAAAAAAGATGGAGATTGAATTTTTCTACATCTACTCTAGATCTTATGCATTTGTAAGATCTCTACCCTAGATCTTGGACATCTACTATGGTTTTATAGTTTTTATGTAATCAAAATGTTTTTTCTCCTTTAATTTTTAATGAGGTGTGAATTATAATAACAGATTTTCTAATGTAGTCTAGTGTTAAACCATCTTTGCATTCCTGGGGTCAGTCTGATTCTTTGGTTCTCAGTTGTTTCACTTGATATTTTTGCGTAAAACTTAAGCAGATACACTTTGATATCTGCTTAAGATACAGCCACCTTAAGCAGATATCAAAATGACTGTCCTGTCAATCACCAGAGCAAACCACCTGGTAATGAACAACTCTCACCTTTCAGCTCTGCGCTTACACCCAGTCTAATTCTTGGCAGGAGGTGAATGTTACATCCCATAATCTAATAGATTTAGTAAATCTATTTCAGTTTAGTAAGTTACTTTAATAACTCAGATGTTGTTAGAAGAGCCTCTTGAATAGCTTTAAAATGTGCTTTATTTGTTTACTTTTTGGCTGTGGGTGGGTCTGATCCTCCTACAAAATTTGTAGGATGTTTCCAGTAATTGTGGGAATGTTTCATGGCCGTTTCTTCCTCTCATTGCTTTGTCTCCATCTCTCTGCTGTCCTCCCCATGCTTTTCAGCCCTTCTGGTACCCGCCATGCACATTTTTCTGGCAGCTTGATGTGTGACTATCTAACACGCCTTTGTACAACTTTGAGGAAAGGCCTAGTTCCACAGAATGCAGAGGTCGCAGCCTCCTGTAAGCCACGCCTGAGCCCGCGCCCTCCCGAGCCAGCAAGCCACATGCAGCTGCCTGGGATTATTGTTTTCCAGGCTATAATGCAGCTCAGGTTTGCATTTTTTTACTTTCAATTTTTAGTCATTTGGGATCTTGATTTCAAGTTAGAGAATTCTTCTAGGGCTTTAATCCTAGAAGAAATACTGACTGCCCTTTGCACCGCCCCCCCCCCCCCACGACTGAAAGCTTATAGGTGCTAGAGCCTTAGAAATGGAGTTCTTTCTACAGAAACTCAGGTGTCTCTTCCAGAGATGTAAGGAGACTATAAAGAAATACTTGCTGTGAGTGATCAGGGAAAACTGGAGGTGAAATGATCACTGTGTGGCCCATGTTGGTCACCAGGCCAAACTAGGGTAGCCACTGGCCACAAATGACAAAATCAAAATTTGAGAGAAAGATGTGGCAAGTAGATGATCTTATCACCATGACTACAGGACAGGACTTCTCACAGGATGAGATCTCGGAACCTGGCTTAAATAACAGGTGGTCGGTCCATGAGGATGCCCAGTGATGCTTGGGACAGTAAGAAACAGGAGTCCCTCGTGTCAGTGGCGTAAGCAAACAGTCATTCTGCTCCTGTAACCAGAACTCCAGGACGCAGGCAGTTGGTAGCTGTGACGCCGGGGCTGTGTAATGTCAAGACTCTGTCTGGAGCTCTGATTCAGCATTCCTGCCAGGGTGCGGGGGCGCGGCATCTTCAGCACCTCACCCTGCAGTCCTGGCGGCGGGAGGCTCGGCGGGTCCCCAGGCACCTCAGTGAAGGGATTTCCCCCGGAGCCCCCTCAGCAGCTCCCTTTATATGTGGTCAGAACTGGGTCACACACCCTCCCCCAGCCCTCTCCTTGAACTCACGATCACTTCTTGTCTCGTACAAAATTGGGATTCTGTGTGAGAAAAGAGAAAGAATGGCTTTGGGGCAAGGAAGAGCACTGTCCGACACAGCGTCCACCAGGACTCCCTCCACACGTTCACTCTTTCCCGGTCCTGTTGGTTCTCCACAGAGTGCTCACGGAGATCTCCTAAATGTGTGAGGCCCGCAGCAGTTTCCCTGTGCCCCCAGCCTCCCCCCACCAAGCACAAAATCCCAGCACTGCCCTCCCCGCCCAGGCCGAGTTCTTGTCCTGACTCGCATCACGTGAAGGGGCCGGGGGCGAGGGGTCTCTCTTCTGTTAGAAGCACTCTTGCCTCTCTCTTTTCCCCCTGACCCCCATTCTTCACTTGCTTGGTCCTGTCTTAA